TGCTCTAAGGTCTCCCCACAGCCTTCTCTTCCACAAGCACCACAAAGGAACGCTATGGCCTCCTTCCTCTGCACCCCACAGAAGGGGGAGAGCAGAGACCAGGGTCACTTCAGCCTCTCTCAAGGCCTGGGGCTGGTGGGGAGTACCCTGTGATCCTGCCCAGGGCTCCAGCCAGAGGCTACCAGCATAGTCCCTGCCTTTTCCCAGCACCCTGCTTTGCATAGCGCTCACCCCATTGCACCCACCCTGCCACTGATCAGAGGGATCATCGCTCCTGCGCCACATGCAGCTTGACACTGGAAATCACTGTCCTGTGTTTCAGGCCATTTCGCTTGCTGCGCCTCATGCAGGGGTCCCATTTCTTCTCCACACACTGAGGGAGAAGTTCCTCATCTGGACTTAGCTCTCCCAAATAGGTTTATTTGCTAAAGGGATGAAATAGGCTCCCACACTAAGCAACCTCAACGAGAGCTCAGCCTGGGAGAGCAAAGAGGAATAAAGAGCCCAGGCACCATCTCCCTGCCCACAAAAACACTCATATAAAACTTAACATAGTTTTATTACAGCTACACACAACATTTACACAGCACAGGGCTGTAGCAGACACTGGAGGGAAGAGCCTCCACTCAGCCCCACAGCACAAGGCTGGGGGGACAGGTGCTGCCCAGCCCAGAGCAGAAAGTAGAGGAGATGGGGGACAAGGACAGCACAGCAACATGGTCAGGGACACCCAGCAGGCCCAAGTTCCAGGAGCTGGAGGAGAAGATACTGGAGCCATCAGTACTTGGGACGTTTCACCTCAACCCTAGAAGAGAGAGAGGGGCAGGATGGTGGTGAGGATGCAGCACTGACAGCTCCATCACCTTCCCTGGCCGAGGGAAGAGTATTTTCACCACACAGGACAGTAGGGAGGCCCCAACAACTCCTCAAGGCACCCAGCTGGATGGGCCAAGGAAGAGCCCTAACACAGCCTTTGGGTCTGCTCAGCACCCACCCATAGCCCCAGGGGAGGTGTGCTGCAGGCTCTGCTGAGCCGAGCAGGGCAGGAGAACCCTGAAGGGACCAAACATCCTCCACTCTCCTTCCAACCCCACTGCTGAGAGCCACTGGGGAAGTGTCTGGTCCCCCCCCAGCCCCTGGGTGAGGTGGCAGGAGCCAGCCAGGCCCCAGCACTGCCCTGCACTGAGCCAAGAGCAGAGACAGCTCCACAACTTACCCATCAGCCTCCAGCTTCTTCCTCTTCTCGATGATCTGCAGAGAGAACACAAAGTCCATTACCCTCAGGTTTCTGGCTGCTCACAGCAGAGGGGTTATAGGGTGCAAGATACCCCCTGGGGGAGCTGGAGCCAGGCCAGGGCAAGCTGAGGTTGTCTATAAGCTGCCCAAAGTCTAGAGCATCTTGGCCTATTCCCCCTTTGCTCCATTTTGGCCACCAAATACCCTTTGTTCTCACCTTCCCCATGACCATCCCACACTGTTGGGGTGCTCATGGCCAGCTCACACTGTCAGCACAGCCCCAGCATTGCTGTTAGAAAATGGAGCCACTAAACATGCCTTGTCCCCTCCATGCCCCTTTGGATGGCTCCCAGCTGCCAGTTTTGGACACATGCTGGAGAGCCCAGAGCAAAAAGCCCCCAGCTGGGACTGCTCCCATTGCAAGAGCTCCAAGTGCAGCTGAAGATGCCTCTACAGTCCTGGAGCAGATTTGCCCAATGCTCTCACAAGGAGCAAATCCAGCTTCTAGAGAGGCAGCCCTGCTGCACACACACGAGGCCAGGGGCTGAGGAGCTGTGCCTAGGACAGTGAGAGCACATGAGGTGGCAGCTCACTGTCTAACCAGATGACACCCCAGCACCAGGCGCTCACCGCACTGATCTTCTTCCACTGCCGGTCCAGCTCTGCCTTGTCATTCGTCTCCTTGAAGCGACGGGTCTTGCGACCCTCAGACATCTTGATCCCATACTGGAATGCTGCCCTGAGGTGGGAACAAGAGAGAACTCAGCATCTGCAGGGGATCCACAGCCTGCCCCAGCCATGAGCCTGTACCCCAGCACTGGCTTGGACCCTGAAAGCAGCCACTGCACAGGAGTCCTCAAGAGCAATACTAAGAGCAAAGAGAAGCCACCAGCCCCAGGGTCCTTAGCTCATCACCAGGGAACCCCCATCTTGCTTTCTAGCTCCCCCAGGACCCAGGTTTGGCCACCCCCACCCAGAATCCTTGCTCAGCCCTTCCCAAGGGCTGCACTCACTTGGGCAGAGCCTCTTTGTTGTTCATGTATTCACTGTACTCCTCCTGAGTGTCAAAGTCCCAGCGGCCCAAAGGTCCTTTCTTGTTACCCTGCAGCAAAAGAACAACTTAGAGCAGCTCCTTAGCTGCACAGTGGGACAAGAGATCCCACCCAGGCACACAGCAGGTCAGCAAACCCACAAACACACTCAGCACCCAGCTCCAGGGCATTCAGCCCCTCCACACAAGCCTGCTTCTCGCCAGTAGGATCCTCTGGGCCTGCACTGATGCCCAGTTCTCTGGTTGGTCCCAACATACTTGATCCATTTTGCTGTAGTCCACCTCTTCATCACTGTCCACAGCCATATCATCCATTCTGTAAAATGAAAAGCAAGGAAAGGGCTCGGAGTGGGTCCATGGGACACGGATCAGGACCTTGAAGCCAGGTCTCTCATGGCCTCAGACTGAGCACACTCAGTTCCTGGACCAGAGAGAAGTTTCTCAATTGCAAGCCCTGCATGTGAGCTGTACCAGAGGGCATCCAAGACTGCAAATGCTCCTAAGGTGACTCTGCAGGCTGAAAGCTGTTCCCCTTTATGGCCAGAGCTCAATGAGCATGTGAATGACCAGGGAACCCAGCAGGCTCCCAGCCACCTCCACCCTCCCCGAGCACTGAGGGCAGCAAACTCCAGGCAGGCATTTACAGCAGAGGCCAGCTAAGAAAAGGCCACTTCTGCCAGAACCAAAGGCACGAAGATAATTTCAACAGTAAGCTGCAACATTATTACAAAGCCAGGCCTGCTCCTCCCAGCGAGCTGTGAGGCTCATGTTGAAGCCCTTGCTGCCAGAGAACAGCAGCCCCTCAGCATCCCCTGCTCCCAACCCACAGCCTCTTGCTGCCCCCTTACGTGGCAGGGTAGCACTCGGCATAGCTGTTTGACATGCCGAAGAAGTCTCCCAGCTGCTTCTTGTCTTCTGGCTTCTTCAATGTGACAACAGTCAAGGAAAGCACCACCATGAAGCCTTACAGCTACAGGCTGAGCACAGCCAGCCCAAGAGCCATGTCCTGCCCCAACAGAACCCAACTGGAGGCTGCAGAGCTTGTATTTGGCATATGAGCAGTAAGGTTTGGGTGGCGTTTCTCTGCTACAGGAAGAAGAGCCCTCCCCAGTAAGGAAGACAGCCACACAGCCATGCTGGGCAAGGCCAGGCTGGCACGGACAGTAAAGGATATGTCTCTGCTCCTTCCCAGCCAGTGGCTCCAGCAAACTTCTCGTTGATGGACTTGATGAGCTCCTTGGCTGAGCTGGGTCCTGGGTAGGGAGAGCAGCAGGCTGAGTTCTGGGGAGGAAGAGCTCACCACAACACATATGGGGCTGGGCAGAGCCCACTTCTGCATGACAGACTCACTGGGATGGGGTAAGAGGCAGGATCAGGCTGCATATGAGGTAGAGGAGAAGCAGCCAGGAGAACAGTGAGGAGCAGGCAGTTTGAGCACAGACAGACGTGGGCTGGTCCAAGGACACCCCAAATCCTCCCCAGCCACAGCCAGCATAGGGTTGTTTGAGCTGGGCTGCTGCCAGGGAAGGATCTGCACAGGCCCTTAACCCGGGCTGGCATGCAGTAGCCTGCAGGGACGAGACTGTTCATCCCAAAACCCTCATAGTGGGCAATTCCCTCCCCCACAGTTGTCTCTGGGAAAACAGGAAGCTCGGGCAGACAGAGACCCAAACAGAAACCTGCAACCCTGTATAGCCTCAAACAGCCTTATTCAAACACCCACATCACCCAACTCACCTTTGTCGATGTCTGTGGGCTGCAAAGGAAAGGGAGACACATGTCACCCAGAGGGTTGAAAGCAGGCAAGTGACAGCATTGCATGACTTGGGATCTCTGCTTTAAGACTCTGTGGCAAGCACAGAGAGCTGAACCATGAAAGCACTTGACTTGTGCTAGTCCTGCCTTACTGAAGGAGAGAAGCACCCAGCTACCCACCAGCCCCTGACTGGACAGAGCTCAGCAAGAGCTGAACACTGTCACGTGTGGGAGCATGACCAGACACACCCGAAGGCATCAGGGACCCCCCAACCCCGCAGCTGCACTGCCCAGAGTCCAGGATCAGGTGGGACAGTCCAGGCTTCCCAAGCAGAGGCTCACCTCATCGTCAGCCTTGGGCTTCTCAAAGTAGCTGTGCCTCTTCTTTTCCTCCTCCCGCTCCCGATCCCGCTCCCGGTCCCGCTCGCGCTCCCGGTCCCGATCTCGTTCTCGGTCCCTGTCCCGCTCCCGGTCCCTGTCGCGCTCTCTCTCGCGGTACCTCTCCCGCTCCTTCTCCCGGGGCATCTTCGCAGTGGAGGGCACATAATCCCCAATGTCTTCAAAAATGCTAGAAGTGGAAAAGAGCCAGCAGTTATGGGTGCTGCACGAGAGGAGGCCGCAACCACCTCCGATTGAATGGAGCCTCATAGAGGAGCCACAGCACCAAGAGCTACAGACACCCACTAGAATTGCCTTCTACATCTGTCACAGGTACTGCTGCATTTCTGCTCTGTTCTACAGCCTGGACCTGCTTCTTGTGGACAGGACAACAGAAAGCTATTGTCTGCTTCAAGCCTGAAATCATTAAACAGAGCTTGCCTCCAGCCTTGTCCTACCAACTGCAGGTCCAAAGAGGCAGCCCACTCCACAAACAGCCCTCTCCATATGTGGCTGGCCAGAAAGACATTCCTTAAGGCAGACAGCTGTGACCCCACATCCTGGGGCAGGGAGGAACTTACTTCATATCAGCTTCAGGGGGCTTCTTCTCATCCAGCTTCCCTGCAAGGACACAACAGCAGTGAGGAACATCACCCAACCCAGCCCTGCACTGTTTCCCTGTCCCCAGTCTGGTTTCCAAGCCCCAAGAGTGGCAGGCTGGGAGGATGTCCCTACTTCATCTTCAGTTACCACAGCATCTCTAGCCCTTTCAGGAAGACATTTTGTCCCTCCTCAAAACAGGGGACACTTCCCCAAGGAACTGGGCCTTAACCAGGAAGAGAAGAGCAGCATGAGGCTTCCTAACAGCTAGAATGTCTCAGCTGCCACAGAGCAGCCTGTCCTTCAGGACACAGGGCTTGGGGAGCCTTAGGAAATCACTGTCCTCTGAGTCCACCACCTCATGGCAAAGGAGAAGGCAGCAAACCAAAGTGCTCTCTCAGGATATGATTCAAGCATTGAGTCCTGCTACTTGGTTCCCTTCAGCTCCTACCTTTGTCTTTCTTCTTGAGCTTCTTGTTGCGGGTCCCTTGCCTGAGATAGGAGAGGATCTGTGTCAGTTTGCTGATGACAATGTCATTGGTGGTCAGCGTGGTCTGTGCCTGAAAGAGAAATCCCCAAGGATCCATCTGACTCTCTTGACAGACAGCCTCTCCTGGCAAGACCTGCTGTGGCCAGTTGAGGCCCAGGACGGTGGCTGGGTACCTCCATGGTGGGGCAGTCAGCCTTGCTGCGGATCAGTGTGGTGGGGATATCGGTGTCTGCATACTCATCATCCAGATCGACCACATAGGCCATCCTGCCCGGCAGGAACAGCTCGTTCCGCTCATAGGCCTTGTTCTTGAACAGGATGCGGTAGATGTTGCGACCTGGAGGGGAGGGAAAGGTGTGAGAGAGCAATGAAAGCAATGGACAAGCCCGTAGTGAAGCATATTTACTTTATCAGAAACATCAGAATCACATCCTAAGAGATATGTTTCCTTCAGCCCTCAAATTCAGGACATCTACACATCAACCTGCCCCCCTCCAGTGACTAAAGGTTTTCATTCACCCTCCAGGATTTCTCCCACATTCACAGCACAAGGTGGAGGGAACAGCCACATCCACACAGTCTTACCCAGCCGGGTCTTAAATTCAATCTTATTCTCAGGATCTTCATCTTTCCTGATCAGAGACAGAACAGAAACAGAAGTATTATGTTAACCACATGCCTCCTCCGCATCCTCCTCTCCAGGAGGCAGCTGTACTCAGGAGTTCAAATCCTTGATCACTCACTTAGTTTCTTTCTGGGGCTTCTCCATCATTTCCTCCTCTTCCTTCTCCTTGCTGGCAATCTCAGCCCGTACCTGGCCATAGAATAAATCCATGTCCCTGTTGCCCATCAGAACCAGTAACCCCACTTCCACCAGCTCCCCAGCCCTTCTGAGATCTTTCCCAGAAACAGAAATCCACACTGACAAGATGGAAACACCTGTAAGTGGGAACAACTACCCTCTGTTCATGGGGGTGGACAGGGCAGAAGAGTAGCAGCACAGTGGTACCAGCGCTCACCTTCTGCAGAAGTGCGAAGTCCAGACCCTTCACCAAGTGGGTGTGCTCCATGTCACCACCCAAGAACTTGGACTCCTGGATCAACTGTCTTCTCTTCTCCGCAGCGGATTTATCCCTGTGTGACACAAATGGAGCCAGTTATGAGACCAGCCCCTCCGGAGCAGGGTGGCAAGACAAGGCCATGCCACGGGCTCACGTACGCCTCTGCTGTTGGCCCCACAGCCCTGTAGTTGGCAGTTGTGCTGATCAGCTCCGTCTCCTCGTAGTCCTTGTTCACCCCATCCCTCCTCTCCTTGGCTCGATCCCTATACTTCTCAGCCAGCTCCCTCTCGCGCTCGATCTCCTGCTGGCGCAGCTTGGCGTAATAGCTGGGGTAGGACAAAGAGCTCAGGGTTAGTGACATGTTCATGCTTCTGATGCGCCCATCAGGTAACAGCCCCTGAGGCTCCACAGATGCTTATCCTGCTCCCAACCCCTTCCTCAGAACCTTCCCAAAGCACCATGGGACACAACATGCCTGGAAGACACCAGACAAGCTGAAATTGCTGTACTGAGCCTAACTGAAAAGGAAGACAGTCTTCCCTTCCAAAGGGAAGGGGTTAAAAGCAGTCCAGCTGTACAGATGTCCCCCAAAAACACTGCCGCCAGTGCAGATGTCCCACCACTGCCCTGCCAGACACCTGCAGAGCCACTTCTGCTTCTTCCGGATGCAAAGCTCCATCCCCATCCTGCTGCATCCCACATCTGCTCCCACAGGCAGTGACAGACCCTCAGTCTGAGTGATTCTCACTCTGCCTGGCTCCAAACCCCAAAGTAATCCAGGCTACTCAGGGTCTTCTTTGGTAGCCCAAAAGCTCAGAAGCTGCTCCCACGGGAGGGACAAGACCCAATGAACTGCTTTCCCCATTTACCTTTTCTTCTTCCTCCTGCGAGCAGCAGGGTCTTCATCTTCATTGTACTCCCGGGGCATCCTGGAAAAGGGTGAGAAACCACAGGTACAGCCTGCAGAGCCAAACACATGCAACTACACAACAGTCCCTGACACAGCAGGGCACTGAGATGCTCAAAGATGGGAACAGTCCAGTCCTACTTCTCCCTAATTCCACTCTGTCAGCAGGGAGAGGAGGGGAAAGCACTGATTTTCACCAAACAAAACCTAAATCTGCCTCCTGCATAAAGCATCTTTACAGCTAGGTAAGACTCCTCTGTTATTTATAGCACTCCTGACCCTCCCGTTTCTCTACTTAACATACAGGTTGCAGGGACCCAAGCACAGAGCAAGGGTGAGGTCTGCTCCTCAGATTCATTAGCAAAAGTCCCTTTAAATACTTCACTGCAGAGTGCAGGGAGAAGAGAGTCACACTGGGACGGAGCCCAGAGGGAAACTTTGTCCTGCAGTCCTGTGGAACAGTCCTACTCACTCATGGTGGCGAGATTTGGATGGTGGCGCAGATGTTGGCGCAGCCCGCGGGGTCATGAGAAGCTTTCTGAAGTCTTCATTGGTCAGCTTGGACCTGCAAGGAAGAGAGGACACAGAAAGAGTCACCCCCAGGGAGCTACAACAGCCTCAGAGGCAGAGGGTTTGTGATGGAGTCAGCCACGGGTCCCACGGAGGGAGCCCAAAGGCTGCACTGCAGCAGT